GATTGGAGACTTGGAAAATCCAAGTCACTGAGTAGGATCGGCTATATGAATCTTAGAACGCCATTGTGCTCGATCCTGTGTTATGTCCTTCGTTAGATCTAAGTACTCTAAGTCTTTTCTTAGAGTCTCTTCCAAAGTTTTCCTAGGTCTTCCTCTACCCCTTCGTCCCTGAACCTCTGTCCCATAGTCGCATCTTCTAATCGGAACGTCAGTAGGCCTTCTTTGCACATGTCCAAAACCACCGTAACCGATTTTTCTCTCATCTTTCCTTCAATTTCGGCTACTCCTACTTTACCCCGGATATCCTCATTCCTAATCTTATCCTTTCTCGTGTGCCCACACATCCAACGAAGCATCCTCATCTCCGCTACACCCATTTTGTGTACGTGTTGATGTTTCACCGCCCAACATTCTGTGCCATACAGCATCGCCGGCCTTATTGCCGTCCTATAAAATTTTCCCTTGAGCTTCAGTGGCATACGACGGTCACACACAACACGCCGGATGCACTCTTCCACTTCATCCATCCAGCTTGTATTCTATGGTTGAGATCTCCATCTAATTCTCCGTTCTTTTGCAAGATAGATCCTAGGTAACGAAAACGGTCGCTCTTTGGTATTTCTTGATCTCCGATCCTCACCCCTAACTCGTTTTGGCCTCCATTTGCACTGAACTTGCACTCCATATATTCTGTCTTTGATCGGCTTAGGCGAAGACCTTTAGATTCCAACACTTCTCTCCAAAGGTTAAGCTTTGCATTTACCCCTTCCTGAGTTTCATCTATCAACACTATATCGTCTGCGAAAAGCATACACCAAGGAATATCATCTTGAATATGTCGTGTTAACTCATCCATTACCAACGCAAAAAGGTAAGGACTTAAGGATGAGCCTTGATGTAATCCTACAGTTATGGGAAAGCTTTCGGTTTGTCCTTCATGAGTTCTTACGGGCAGTCTTTGCTCCTTCATACATATCCTTTATAGCTTGGATATATGCTACTCGTACTCCTTTCTTCTCTAAAATCCTCCAAAGAATGTCTCTTGGGACCCTATCATACGCTTTTTCCAAATCTATAAAGACCATGTGTAAATCCTTTTTCCCATCTCTATATCTTTCCATCAATCTTCGTAAGAGATAGATTGCCTCCATGGTTGAGCGCCCTGGCATGAACCCGAATTGGTTGTCCGAAACCCGTGTCTCTTGCCTCAATCTATGCTCAATGACTCTCTCCCAGAGCTTCATTGTATGACTCATTAGCTTAATACCCCTATAATTCATGCAATTTTGTACGTCGCCCTTATTCTTGTAGATAGGCACCAAAGTGCTCATTCGCCACTCATTTGGCATCTTCTTCGTTTTCAAAATGCTATTGAAAAGGTCAGTGAGCCATGTTATACCTGTCTCTCCCAAAAGTTTCCACACTTCGATTGGTATATCGTCTGGGCCTATTGCTTTTTTATGCTTCATCTTCTTCAAAGCTACAACCACTTCTTCCTTCCGGATTCGACGATAAAAAGAGTAGTTTCTACACTCTTCTGAGTTACTCAACTCCCCTAAAGAAGCACTCATTTCATGTCCTTCATTGAAAAGATTATGAAAATAACCTCTCCATCTGTCTTTAACCGCGTTCTCTGTAGCAAGAACCTTTCCATCCTCATCCTTGATGCACCTCACTTGGTTTAGGTCCCTTGTCTTCTTTTCCCTTGCTCTAGATAGTTTATAGATATTCAACTCTCCTTCTTTGGTATCTAGTCGTTTATACATATCGTCGTAAGCCGCTAACTTAGCTTCTCTGACAGCTTTCTTCGCCTCTTGCTTCGCTTTTCTATACCTTTCACCATTTTCATCAGTCCTCTCCTTGTATAAGGCTTTACAACATTCCTTCTTAGCCTTCACCTTTGTTTGTACCTCCTCATTCCACCACCAAGATTCCTTTTGGTGTGGGGCAAAGCCCTTGGACTCTCCTAATACCTCTTTTGCTACTTTTTCGGATACAACTAGTCATGGAATCCCACATTTGGCTAGCTTCCCCCTCTCTATCCCACACACATTGGGTGATTACCTTCTCTTTGAAAATGGCTTGTTTTTTCTTCTTTTAGATTCCACCATCTAGTCCTTGGGCACTTCCAAGTCTTGTTCTTTTGTCTTACTCTTTTGATATGTACATCCATCACCAACAAGCGATGTTGATTAGCCACGCTCTCTCCTGGTATAACTTTGCAATCCTTACAAGTTATACGATCCCCTTTCCTCATTAGAAGAAAATCTATTTGTGTTTTTGACGACCCACTCTTGTAGGTGATCACATGTTCTTCTCTCTTCTTAAAGAAGGTGTTGGCTAAGAAGAGATCATATGCCATTGCAAAATCCAAGATAGCTTCCCCATCCTCGTTTTCTCTCCCCAAAACCATGGCCACCATGAAAACCTCCATAGTTGCCTGTCTCCCTGCCCACGTGTCCATTTAAATCTCCTCCTATAAATAACTTCTCCGTCTGAGCAATTCCTTGCACCAAGTCTCCAAGATCTTCCCAAAATTTCTCCTTCGAACTCGTATCCAACCCTACTTGAGGTGCGTACGCACTAATCACATTGATAAGTTCTTGTCCTATTACAATCTTGATTGCCATGATTCTATCTCCTACCCTCTTGACATCTACAACATCTTGTACCAAGGTCTTGTCCACGATGATGCCAACACCGTTTCTCGTTCTATTTGTGCCCGAATACCAAAGTTTAAACCCTGAGTTTTCTAGATCCTTTGCCTTACTACCAACCCACTTAGTTTCTTGTAGGCACACATAATATTTATCCTTCTCCTCACCATAACTTCCACTACTTCCATAGATTTTCCCGTTAAGGTTCCTATATTCCACGTTCCTAAACGCATTTTGCTCTCTTGAACTCTACCCTTCTGTCCTAGCTTCTTCACCCTCCCCCGTCTAATAGGATCAAAGTACTTCTTTTGTGTGTCCCGGGTAAAGTTGATAGGAGCATATGCTCCCAAACAACTTTGAGTGGAGTCGTTCGAAAAGAAGTTTCTATGGCCCCCTTGCTCATTTAACACTGCATCCGGGTGCCGATGGAGATACAGCGACCCTTGCTCACTTATCACTGTGCTCAGGCCACACAGCGCGCCACTTACGGGTGACGCCCTAGCTTTAGCGCGATTTTGTTCTGGATTCATTTTCATAAGGATTCGACGTGATCATGGAGTGCCGGCTGTCGACTACCTGACGCCCTCCCCCTCCTCCTTTATCCGGGCTTGGGACCGGCCATGTAAGACATAGGCGGAGTTGAACTCAAGATCTTATAAGAGAGAAAAATCGAACATAAACTTTCTCTTCGTCTTCTTGAGGTATGAGCAATTCTTTGATATAATTAATATTGTAGAAGAATCGAACACAAGATCTTATGTACGTAGATAAATTTACAAGTCCTAGAAACTGCAAGCCCTACTATATTATTATGGGTGTAGAGATTTTCGCTACACTTTCAACATTGTAAATGAAACATTGTGATCGAATAATGATTGCCAATATGAAAAATTGCATAAAAACGAATTGACTTACAATAGGGAACCTCATACTTTACAATAAACTTGATTTCTCAAATTCAATAGCAGAAATTTCACAAGTACTTTCATTAGTTGCAAATCAGTCCACATACGAATGAACAAAAAATGGACGAACAACGTAATATAAAAGTAAAAATATTATTAAAATAAATAAAAATACCGAAACAATTACAAAACTTATAAGAGTACATCGTGATTAACTTGACGAAAATAAATGAATATAAGACTCGTACATATGCCAAACTAGCAAACTCTAAACCTAAACGGACTTAGGCCCAAGAAACGAAACACTAAAAAACTAAATACGACTATTTTTCCAACAATTCCAACGTTTAAACAATGATATCCAAAGTGGTTTAATTGATATACATGATGGAGCAGTTAAAAGCTTATATAATACTACTGCAGGCTGTGCAGCCATGCACAAAGATTCAAGTGCTTTCCCCCCTTGTTAATGCATTCTTTTACGACACATGTCACCATTAAATTGTTCTTTAACAAAACCAATATATTAAACAACATCTAAAAGGGATTAGTGCAATATAATCAAAGGCTTAATTTAAGTATAAGGGTTAATTGATAAGATGGAATCTCAAAAGCACCAAACATTTTTGTACTGGAGAAATTCTGTCACTCAAAACCCTAACAGTAGTATGAATATTACCCCAAGCAGCTAAGATTCCGAAATGCCATATGAACATTTTTAGCTCAATGTTATTCTCATCGGCCAAGTCATGGCTTTCTTTTGCAAAATAAAGTTCTGCAAATGGACCACCATGTGTATACTGGATTACATATGATAAAAAGGGCGACTCCAAGCCAATAAGGCTCTCTTCTTTGCGAGGGTCGAAGAGGGAGGGGAAACGTTAATCGTAAGTAGCCTTACCCTTACTTTGCAAATAAATTGTTCTACAACTCGAATCTGTGACCTCTTGGTAAAACATGAGTAACCTTTCTGTTGCGCGAAGGCTTGCCTTTACTGGATTAAATATGATAAATCATGAAAATTCATATTAGCACTCTAAAAAAGTCTCCATGCTCTTTTACCTTCTTTATTTCATTAGCTAAGAGTGCAGGATGACCTTTTTTAAAGCGCCAATAGCATCTCCAAACAATGAAATGTCAGACGGCATACGATCAGCTATGTTGTAGTGCTTGATAAAAACCAAATCCATCACAAAGTTAAAGAGACTCCAAAGTTAAATCCTAGAAGTGGAACCACAAAAAGAATTTAGAAACCAAACAAAAACGAGAGGAAAAAAAGGACAAGTGTAAGGGAAAAAACGATGAAACAGTACCATATGTGGCACAGAAATGAAAGAAAATTGTAGCCATATTAATGATTCCCCAACTGAGAAAATCACATAAAGAAGCTATCCAGATGGTGTAGGGCTAGAATCGGGATAATAGGGAGTGTTCTTTTTCGTGATCCCCATCAACAGGTGAAGCTACCACATGATCTGATCTTTCCTTGACCAAGAGGGAAGTTTAGATCATGCTGGCAGCTTCAACCGCTATTGGTCCACGACATCCAAAGCAAAACCCTAATCCATATGTGAGATAGAGAGAGATTTCTATTTTTCTTTAGCTGTGGGATGTGTTTGGAGAAGAGGAGAAGAGGGCGATATAAATAGAAGCCGGGGAGTGCCTTCCTATCTCAGACTCTTCTCTGTGTTAGTCCCTGTGGTGGTGAATTTATTATAATTAAGGGCTAATTAAAGGTTAGAAATAGTATATTAGTGATCAATTAGTTGTGGAGAGAACAGGTGGCAGTGGTCCAAAGTAAGACAAATTGAATATTATCAGGCTCTTATGCCACCACCATGCAGACATGGTAGTGACCTCTTCTATAATTTACCCTGAGCTTTAATCAACTTTAAGTGGAACTTTCTTCCACACCATACATGAACCAAAAAAGAGTTCAAAACACAATGAGTTTGTTGGGGACCATTGGCACGCTTCATAGCAAATTTAGGTGAAAAGGAAAGGGGTAGCATCTCAACCAAAACAAATGCATGTGACAATCTTCCCTCCCTCTCCTTCTTGGTTTCCTGCATTATCAATGATCTCGCCCTTTGTTATTTTGTTAGGGAGAAAATAGGCATTCTCAATCCTCACGAATAGTTCGACGATGAAATGTGGCCGAACAATAAACATTAAATTTGGATGCTCTGAGTTTTGAAGTTCATGAGCACTACAAAATCATATATGTATAAATGACACAGTACAGATGATTATATGTAACTTACTGATGATTATATGAATTAATTATTGATGGTAAAGTAGATTAAAATTTCTCCAACTTAGAGAAAGAAAAAATAGAAAATGTATGCCATTCGTCGAAATGCTTGATTGTAGAGAACCCTATTGTGTTTTATAAGAACAATACACTTCAAAGTTTAAACCCCACAAATTGTTTAATGATAGTTAAAGTGAGCATTAGACCAGCAACAAAAATATGTATTCAAATGTTTTAGATTTTAAAGTTCTAGAAGCACAAATTCATTCACCTCATGCATGCGACCTTCTAGAGAATTACACGTGAAATATTGCTAGTAGTTAACATGTATTAATTGTGAAATTGTCCTCAAGACCTAAAAACTAAAAGAAAATGAACCTTCCTTTATGAAACAGAATGTGATTTGTGGAATGCTTGATACTTGAGAACCTAATTGGTGGCGGCTGCACAATAAAAGCAATCTAAAAACGAATTTTTGGGAGTCCAATGTGTAAAGTGAACAATCAGATACAAGCAAATAGGAAAATGATTTGTAATAGGGGTGTGATATCCACACACCTTTTTTTATTTCTCATACATCCTTCTAATTTTCGACCGTCGGATCAGATGAAATAAAAAAGATCAACGAACATAAATTAACAAATGATGTGTGAGAAGTAAAAAGAATGTGTGGATAGCACATCCTTTTGTAATATATTCTGATAAAGTTGATTGGTTTTTATATTGAGATTCTGTTGGCTTTGAATTTGCTTCGATCCCATTTGTAGGTTAAAGGGCAGATGGAACCAATAGATGCGTGCAGAGTAATCCCGGTGAGAAAGTTTCGAAAAGTGGAAAACAAAATATTCTAAATAAAAGTTCCCAAACATTGGCTTGATTTGGAGACAAAACTCATGATTTTTAATTTAACTACCATTTTATTTTATTTTTTTAATAAAAACGATTTTTTATATTAAATTATCAGGATAAAAATTCGAATTTGAATGCACAAGATAGGCAACAATTACATGCGCGAGCATGAGAAATTGAGGAAAACTTATTTCACCCAAATTCACCAACTTTACTTTCATCTCAACAATTCCTTCTTCAATCATTAAACGCCACCAACAAGCTCTTAGTCAATTGCCCACCAAAGGCAAAATTTATGAATCCCATCTCATAACATATGTTCTATTAAATTTGAGAGAACATAACATATGTTGTATAAAATTTGACTAAGCCCAACTCATATTTTCTAACTATACTCTAATATGTAATGGAAAGCAATCATGTTATGCACTATACTGCATGTTCCATTTTCATTAATTTCTTTCCTTCTAGTTGTTTATTTAACCCTCTAAAACTATCGCTCTATTAGAAAAACTACATTTTAAATATAAAAATATATCTCATTTGCAAGGAAGCTGCTTTCATTGGCCTTGAATTTATAAATAAAATATTATTCGCTTGTTCGAAAAAGCAACTGGAACTTAATAAACTCTACTGCAAATAAAGCTAAGTTAGATGTTGCAGTCGGTCCAAGGATCTTTCTTGTTGTGATAAATTTATATACGGCACTTTCACCTTTTTTATTTTTCGTTTTATACTAAAAAACAAGTGTGGACACATGAATAAGACATTTAACATATGACAACATGATGAGATAATGTTCAAATTTTTTCTTTGGCTTGTGATGAGATATTGCCAATCTTATGTTGTATTATTGCTCACTCTGTCGCTCATTGTTTAATAACATGTTTCATCCTTTAATTTTCTTACTCTTTTTTTTTTTCCAAGGGACGAAGATTGATCTGCCTTATGTCATAGATAGTAGAAAGAGAGAGATACATGGTGTTGTGAAAGATCCAAAATCTACCCTATCTTATTGAAGGCTGGAAAAGTGACCAATGCACCAAATTGGCACCACTTTGGGGCCTGGGGCCTGGGGCAAAAACTTAAGTGCAAGTGCAAGCGCATAACCAAATTGGCACCCACGGTGAAGGTATTTTGGTGTCACCAAACTTCAACAAAAATACCCTCAAAACAAAAAACTTCAAAAACATCCTAAAATAATACATCAAATAAAGCGAAGGTATTTTTTTATTTTAACATTTTTTTAATAATTATTTTTTTGTGCTTTTTTTTATTAGCACCTCACAATAAATTAACAATAATATGATTCAATTTCTGTATTTCTAAACACGTTCAAAACATCTTAAAAAGCATCTAATGGCGGATATAAAAAAATCTTTCACATGCTAACAATAATGTGATTAAATTAGTTGTCAAATGATTATTTTTTTAACAAACGATATTATCTACACTAAAGGAGAGGAAGATGAACTTAACCTCACAATAGACTAGCAATAATATAAATCAATCAGTTGTTTATTTTATATTTTATTTTAAAACACGATTAAAACATCTTAAGAAGCGTATAATGTTGATTATAAAAAAGATATTTTGCATGAGGATAATAATATAATTAAATTAATTGTCAAATAATTATTCTTTTTTAACAAAAAATATTATCTACACTAAGAAGGAAAAGATTTAACCTAGAAATAAAATAATTCAATCAATTGTTTATTAAATATTATTTTTTTCTATTTTTATTGTTCTATAAAGATCAATTTTATTATGTAAATTTAACTGTTTTAATTGATTTATAAAGGATTTCTTCTAACATGATATAATATTTTTCATTTACTTCAAATATTTGATTTTCTTTTTGTCAATTTAAGCATATAAATATATTTAAAACGTGTACATTACGCGTAACTCGCCGTGATTCGAAAAAACCTCTTGCACAAGCATAATCGCATGCATGAAGGTTAGTGAGATAATTAAGAAGTTACATTTAAATGCAACTAGACCATATTTTTGGGACTTTCTCTACTCAAATGACATTTCACGTGGATAGAGAAATAAACAAAAAAAATGTGCCTAAAATAATCACATCATCGCTTAGTCAGTTGTTAATTAATCCTACGGTTAGTTCAGGGTAGAATTGATGCTAAATAGCTCACCCTAACTATCTTAGGCCAGTCAATCAGTTGTTAATTAAGCCTATGTTTAGTTCAGATTAGAATCGGTGTAAAATAACTCATCCAATCTTTAGTCCAGACTGTCCAGTCAATCAAACACTCCCCATAAGTTTGTGGCCTCAAACCTTTATAACGAAAATTTAGTCAGCAGAAAAACACTTCTCTTCCAAGTTCCAGTTGGTACAAGAGTGGTTTATATTCACTACAAGTTTTTTGGGAATATATAACTATTTATATTCATATATTCTGTGGCCTAGCTTCACACCATTTTCTGCATGAATTTATCTGGCTGAGCATTTTTATTTCCATATTAACTTGGTCTTGAATTCTCTAAATCCCAATTAAAAAATACATGTTGAAAATGACAAACATATGATTTCTAGCTCTTGGTGTAATACCAAACTTTATCAAATCGAAAAATCTACAATACTCTAGAGGACGGTTGTATTGGATCTAAGGGAACTAAGTGACGAAGTATTGAACTCTCCAAATATTGTAGCTTCAACCGAAAAATTTCAAGTTCGAATCTCCCATCGACACAAATAAAAGTAAATGTATAGTAAATACCTGGTAGAGTTGGGACTCTTACCACGCACCTGTTTAATTAAAAGAAAAACTAATAAAAATAATTTGAAAATTTTAAATTTTAATGATAAGAACAAAATAAAAGATAAAGTTAATAAAATCCGAAATGACTTTTTAATGTAAAAATATAATTTCTCGTTAAAATAAACAATATCGATAATTTTTCGTTAAAATTCTTTTTAATAAAATCTTAACGTACACCAATTCTGTATAGATATCTAATCGGCATCAGGAATATTTACAGAAGAGAAAATTATATTTACATATATATACACATCACCAAGGTGTGTCAATCTTACATTGTTAGATTAGATCACTGAGCAGCTTATAAATTATTAAAAAGTAAGAACAAGAGAAAAGCTGCGAGCAAAAAGAGATGGAATCTAGAACGCATGCCAGGAATGACAAATAAATCTAAGACCAGAGGAATATACTATGATATACTTACAGTGATATCTCATAACTTTCTGCTGCTTTTCTTGTTCCAAAGGCTGAGAGAATGGTTGGCTTTCTGTGTGTTTTGGGTCCCCAAAACAGGAAGGAGTGAGGCTGTCAGAGCATGACCTAGCTAGAGTTAATAGAACTGATAACCACATATATATGTGTGATTGTACATATCTTTAGCCAAAGCTAGATCATGCTGGCAGCTTCACTTTTTCCCTTGTGAACTTTCTTTCT